GTGCTTTCTCAGTTTCCCGTTGGTTATCATGCCGATGGCTGAGCTCCCAGCTGAAATGTCAAGTGATTTCAAACTTTCAAACTGTTGCTTGTGTTCTATCACTTTCTCCGAGTTCACAAATTTCATAACCAACTTGGTTATGAATGTTCCATCTGTGCATCCATCAAATGGATAAGAGGAGCTTCTCAATGCAAAAACAGGTTAAAATTTCTAAAAATAGCCATTGCTGACTGAAGAAACATGGATACATCAGTCAATGAAATATTAATGCACAAGCATTTGAAGCGGATTTTATGTTATTTTCCGACAGAATGTATAGTATGACCTCAATGGCTCATACTTTTTTAACTCTGTCTAAACAACGCTATAGGTAAAGCCATCGTACAGATATTTAACTACCTCCTCATAAACTGCAGAGATCCCAAGTCTACCGAAAATCGCGGGTTTCTCTGGATTTTTTAGTCCGTCTCCCGCCCTCCCGATTTTTATTAATAATCTCCCAATTTTTTTAAATATCGCGAAAATTCCACGAAAAATGTGATTTCCACGATGTCATAGAGCAGTGAAACAAAATTTCTTATCTTAAGCCAATATACTATGGCGCTCGCTCAGCCTTAAAATGTCGTAAACAAGACAAGGGAGTTGTTATTTAAGTTGTTTATCAAAATAACAACTCCATGGCAAGGCAGGCCTAGATCCATGGTAGAATCACCTTGTTTATCCTCCATGTTACGATCTTTCTCATCCGCGCCGACCTCAATCAATGAGATGGCTGTCAGTTGAGTAAATAAATTTCAACAAATTAACGAAATTAGAAATCACATGGGATGGAATGGATGCCCCAAGTTTTTTTCGCCGCGAAGATTTGGAACTTTGTAGAATCGGTACATAAAAAATACTTTTTCTTTCAAGTAAGCTTCAGTTCTTTAATAATAATACTAAAAAAATCATAGTTAGTAGGTTTTGGTACTAAGTAGTCTTCCGAAAAATTAAGTTTATTTTAATATCAATCCCGAAATACATGTAGACCTAGGCTCTATCTGCACTGCAGGGTATGTATGTGTGTTGTGTTGAGTGGGCGTCTGTGTGTAGTGGTGGTCGTGACTCTGCGGCCTTAGGCCTAGTTACGCACGTACAGATGGAGCCTAGCGAGGCAGGATTTAATGTTTTTTATGGCATTATGTACCAATTAGTAAATGCTAGACATATATAAATGCTGACTTAAAACATGTAATATGATTTACTAACTAAATTAAAATATATATTTATTTTTTAATTTTTGAGCAAACGGGTGGATCTTGCAAGTTGCAGTATACCTTGCTAGAATTCTATGTTCTTTGAAGAGATGTAGTAAATCAGCCATAGCCTCTAATATGCCAATGAACCAAGCAAAGCCTTGTTGACTGCTGCCAAGAATGCTTTACTAGCAAAATTCTAAATAAATAATATTTATAAATTTATATAGGCCAACTGCCTTGTTGACTGCTGCCAAGAATGCTTTACTAGCAAAATTCTAAATAAATAATAATATTTATAAATTTATATAGGCCAACTGCAATGTAAAACAAATGTAAAATTGTTAAATAAAAGTAAACAAATTAATGAAAATTGTTTGTTTTCTTCATTTTGTGTAATACTTTCATGTTGCACAGCGCGTCGTAAGGCGCCACAGCGCGTCGCTACAGGAGGCGATCGCTTCACGAAAAAACCTCCCTATTTTTTGGTTTTCAAACTTGGGATCTCTGTAAACTGTGTCACAGAACTTCAAAGTATTCTTACAGAGCACCTTTTCATTTGGTCGATTGTCAAACCAGTGGAACAAGTAGATTTAAGCGCCTTTCACATCTGTTCAGGTTTCAGTTCAGGTTCCAGTTCCGGTACCGGTTAAGAAATCGGACTTCTATTCTCACAACGCTTAAGGCGTATTCTATTCACATATAATCCGATCCGGTAGCCGGTGACCGGTTCTGGCATCCGGCAACCGGATCGAATCGGTCCTGAAGCGATTTTTTTCGGACCGGATTCAAAACCTGAAGACTTCTGTCCAATCAGAACTCTCCACATAAATCGGCTTCTCTTTTTTCCCGACTAGAGCTATTCTCACCATCTTGTATATTGGATATGGCGACAACACTTCCTCTGAAGTTGAATGATGATGATTTAGAAGCTATTTTACTCGAAATACAACTGAATTCAATTTTGTATGACAAAGGCTCGAATGAATACAAAAACGATGTAAAGAAGGCCGAAGTGTTTTCAGCAATTGGTGCCAAGTTTGGCATTACAGGTAGGCTTACGTTTCTCATACGAAAGTTACTATTCTATTAGTATTATAGTAGAATAGGCCTAGGCTAGGCCTCTCTATGCCTACCTAACCTAGCCTAGATAAGGGCAATCCGAGTTTTCGTCAGGACTAGCCTATGTATATAGGCCTAATGCTAGCGTCCCATGGCATATATGCTTTAGGTGGGTCTGGGGTAGGCCTAGGCTATCGTTATGCCCTAACTCCTAAGTAAGGGGATAAGCTGATACTGGGCTAGCCTACTAGCCTAGGCCTAGATAGTAGTAGTAGGCCTGGACCTAAGGCTAGGCCACACAAAACGGCAATAATTAGGCCTATGGCCTCTTCTACTAGCCTAGACCTAGGGGCCTAGGCCTATAACGATTATAATTATTTACAAGTACCAATTCTTCTCCATAAAATTAGCAGAAAAGTGTTGCAGTTGGTTCATTGTTTTTGAAAATGAAAACTCATTCCTTTTTAATAACCAGTTCTGGTATAGCCTAGGCTCTAGGCCTATACTGGCATGGTTATTTAAAAAAGGCTAGTGTTTTAGAAAATCATGATTCACATTTGTATTATTAGGTATAAGTTATTAATTTTTTAAAAATTAATAATGAAATTATATTTTTATAGGCTCCATTATACAGTAAGCTCGAGGTCTATTATTAAATGATCAAAGAATTTGATTTGGTCTTGTCTGGTTAACATACTCTATGCATGGTTGGCTATTATTTCGGCTTAATTTAAAGAAATACATTGTATAATTAATATTATTAAACATAAATTTAAATTACCTCTACCTAAACCTGAATGTAATAAAACAGTTTATTTCATAAAGGAGCATTTGATAGCTGAAAAAGCTTCAACACTGCATTTATTTTAACAAAATACCATACAGAATTTGCAGCCTATTTTTTGCAATATAAAATTTTGTTTATTTTCTATTGTTTTTTTTTCTCTTTGCAAATTTATTTGTCTAATTAGCAAATCAAATTTAATTGTTTCATGATTTTTTTTTTTATATTGTTATAAAATTGAATTGTGGAAATAAACATTGAACAAATACTAAACACTAAAGGAACTTACGAATGGTAGTATTTTCAAAACATAAACAATACATACAACTCGCGTAAAGTCAGCGTGATCCGCGTCAACCGCCGGAACGGAAAACGCAGTAGATTTGAACAGAATCGTCAGAAACCGGACAAGAAACCGGAACAGAAAACGGAACCTGAACTGGAACATGAATAGATGTGAAAGGCGCTTAAGACTAATATTGGCAATGGCAAAGACTAGATGGTATACCATACAAATACAACAAAACTTTGACTTTCCAGTAGGATGGCTCAGGCCTCGCCTGGAGTCAGGTAGTATCGTAGCCTAGACTAGTAGAGGCTTGGCCTATTTTTAAGTTCTTACTTACAGAGGCCTACCTTTTTAACAATATTCTACCCTAAAGGCCTAGGCAAATCTGTGTAGCAGCTAGTGGTGAGCAAGGTTCCAAGTAGGCCTATAGCAATTCTCAGCAGGCCAGAACTATTATACTGTTTTAATTCAAGTAGGTAGCAAAAAGGGAGCTGGAGATTGTTCTAGTCGAGACATCCGCATCTTCAATTTTGAAAATTCACCAAGATTGATTAATATGCATGAGGTTAAGCCAATCACGAGATTTACAAAATCAGTCATGCATACGATATCCCACATCAAATTTGATGTGGGAAATTGCACGCATGAATCGTTTGCCCAGGCCCTAATTCGAAAAAAAAAGAAATCGAGTATGGGACGCCAGTTAAATTATGTATGGCGCGCACTAAGTGCAATAAAGAGTGAGTAACCTAAAATTAGGGCCTGGAACCCAGGCTAACTATTAGGCAATACTAACAATACATCTGTTGTGTGTGTAGCCTACTGTACATCGATGAGCGAAAAAAAGCGGGAAGGTAATACGCTTTTTATAAGGAGAAAAAGGTGACGTAACCTTAGAAACGTGTGCATTATGTTAACCAAATTCTGATAAGAAAAATACAAATATATAACGTCAGATACACTCCATTACACAATAGGTACGGCTGGAAACAAATAATAGCTTAAGATTTATATTCGTATAATATAGCTTATTATTATTTAATTATCTTTATTTATAACCTTCCCGACAAGCTTTTTTGCAACATCAGAATGTACGGTAACGATATATGACACTACTCTAGTTTCATATTCTGACGAAGAAAGTAGTATCTTGCGACTTGGCCGGCAAACGTAGGCCTAGTGCTCGAGTTCCTTCTAATATCGTTTTTGTTTTCTCTCGGAACTATTTACCTGTAGGCTATTATCCATTCAACTTTTCTATTTATGTTTCGGTTTCTTTATAGCTTGAATGGCTTCACTAGCCATACTTACAACTTGGGATGTTTTTTTCTGTTAAAAAAAAATACTTGTTGTGGTGGTCGGATGGTAACACCATGCTATTGCATCTATTTTGTTCAATAATTGTTAGCATGTGCGTTTATACCAACGTCTCAGCTGATTGCAGTGCATCCACTAAATATACAATACAAACGATCTTAGTTACTTTAAATGGAATAGTAACACTGAAGCTATTGTTACCAAAGTTAATAACAAATTATTTCTATTATGGGCATTAAAAGGATAATATACAAATATTGACTGCTCATGATGGGAATGGTGAAATGCCCCTAGGATCCTATATCATACTTACCGGATCCACCTCTTCGCTCTTTCTTCATAAATCCTGTCACAAATGACGACATTACGTTCATAGAGTACCACAGTCGTGTCGTCACGACGCCAGGTGGCACTCTCTGTTGTCAACAGACGTTGGTTACAGTTCATTACGCCTGAAAGGCTTCATAGGTTTTCTGGAATAAGCATTTTAAAATCTAATCTTTTACCATAATGTACTAAAAACACAAAAGCTCGCATTATATTAGTTATCGAACACACATTTAATCATCAATTAAAATTTACAAACAAAAAGTAAGATACAACATCTTAATAATTACGGTACGTTATAAATTGGGATCAATGGTTTGTCAGTGGGGAAAATGGCGCCCGGTTGAACGTTTTTTGCAACGATGGCAACGGAGTAGTATCAGGACGTAACACTGTAGTACTCTATTATCACCAAAAGTACTGGTGATGACCTGGTCACGGCACGTATAATTAAAAAAATGTTACCATGTCTATTAGACCAACTAACATTCTCTATTAATTGTTCATTTTCATAGGGTGTATTTCCAAATCTTTTAAGATTACCTGAAGCAACCCCTGTCTACAGAAAGGGAGACATAGACCAAATTTCTAATTATAGGCCTAGATATTTCTCTCCTAAGCGTTTTCTCAAAGATCATCGGGAAACGTATGCACCAATGACTTTATAATTACCTGAATAAATATAATATTCTCTATACCCATCAATACGGCTTTCGCCATAATCATTTCACATCCCATACTCTTGATTTTAGTTAATAACATTACGAATGACTTCGATAATAAACAGTTTTTGCTCTCCATCTTTTTAGATTTATCTAAAGGCTTTTGTTGTTATTAACCAGAATACTATTATTTGTAAATTATTTAATTATGATATTAGGGGAGTTGCATTAAATTGGTTTAAAATCTATTAGGAAAAGCACAAGCAGTATGTTGCCATAGGTTACTGCAAACCATCAGTGAGAGATGTGACCTGCGGAGGACCACAAGAGTCTGTATTAGTGCCGCTTATATTTTAAATTTTCGTTAATGACCTTCCTCAAACAAGTGATACTCTAACGGTAATATCCTTTGCTGATGATATTTTTTTATACCCACTTAGATCTAAATGTTAATACTGTTAACACAGAACTACACATTTTCACTGAATGGTTAGCCGCAAATAAAATTTTCACACCAACATAAAAAATAAATCTTTCTAATTTGAAATCTTTCAAATTTGAAATTAAAAATATGAAATAAATAGTAGATTGAGCGAAAAAACTATACTTTGCTTCTTTGTGTATATATAAGAACACTTACGTTGGATCAAACAACAAAATTATGTTTCTAAAAGAAATTCTAAAGTGATTAGTGTAGTTAGTAGATTGCGATCTTCCCCTAATATACGGTACTCTACCAATATTAACAATACGCTCATTCAACCCCACCTTCTATTGCAACCTAATTTGGGCAGCTGACTACCCCACAAATTTAGAAAAGATTTAACAAATTAATCAAACGTGCCGTTCGAAAAATTACTTTTCAGACTATCTTGCTCCCTTTAAACCTCTTTTAAAAAAAACTAAATATACTTAAAATTAATTAGCAGAAAGTCGCCAAATCAAATTAGTACAATTGATTAACAACAAACAGCTAACTGCATAGGCTGAAAAGATATATTTGTTTAGTTGTTGTTTTTTTTAAATTTGTTTATTTATTTTTATTTTTCTCTTAATATTTTTTAGAAATTGTGCATGTTTATTTTGCAAGTTTCACCATCATGATATTTGTGAGTTCAACGTTTTCAGCCGTCTGGCTGTTTATTGTACATTTTATACCGTAATATATATTTTTTTTAAATAGTATATTGCTGGATGAGTGCTTTAAATTGTTAGTTTTAGGGGACACCTTTTTGGTGTCGTTCTACACATTTATATCAATGTCTATCTGTTCCTTAGGAAAAGTCTGTAGCAGGTTTAGAACTGCGACTCTAGCAAAACCAGATAATTGGCAAAATGGTGACTGTGTGCCTAGTAGAACTATCCATGCTACCAAAGCAAGAGGTTCGATCCAATGTTCATCGATGTGTCTACGGCGTTTTCCGGAGTGTAACTCTATCAGATACGACAAGGTGTCAAAATCGTGTGAATTATTGGCGTGCATGATGCTACCTAAACGAGAAAACAAGAATTGTATGACATATGGAATAAATCTGTCCGTAAGTGAAATATCGAACAAAGTGCAATGGTTGTCTTGTTTGACCAATCTAACTATATCAAGATAATTAATTTTTTTTTTCAAATTTTTAGCGTGATTGCAGTGAAATATTGAAGACATCTCCGAGTTCTCAAAGTGGAGTATATGCAATTACCAGTAACGACGGAACCAGGACATGGCCTGTTTACTGCGACATGGTCACCGACGGTGGAGGATGGATAGTAAGTGTATCTTGTTTCTTCGCTTTGTCAAGATAAATATTACGTTACGCTGTCTCTTATACACATCTAGATGTGTATAAGAGACAGAGGCAAAGGAGAGCAGCTAGATGTAAATTTAGGTTTTTCAGAAACGTCAGTCTGGTTGGACCGATTTTAATAATTCGTGGTTACATTACAAGAATGGTTTCGGCACTATGTGTGATTTCTGGCTAGGGAACGAACTAATCCATCAGATAACGGCATCTGGAGAGTACAGCCTTCGACTGGATATGACTACGACAAATGGTGACGTTTACTTTGCAACATACTCATCGTTTACCGTCAATGGAGAGAGTGACAAGTACAGATTGAAACTTGGAGCTCTAATAGACGACAATGCTGGTAAGCATTATTTTACTATCAGTCCCATTTAGTTTACTTGTATACTCCGCCATAAGTTTTCCTGTACCAAGGGCAACACGAACAGGTCCTCAACTCAATAGCTTAAAATTTAATGTGAGGCACAGATTTTAAATGTGGGCTAGTCAGACCATTGCTTTTCCTTTGCAGATTAAAATTATTTTTTTTAATGGATAATGAGCTAAGGCAATTTCAAGAACCCTCACATAGCTCCCATTTCAAGGGCGCAGCCAAGGTAAAATTTTTAGAGGAGTCGCATTTCATATATTACATTGTTTTTTTCCATATTACCGATAATTTACTACTATATTCGTGATATTTTTTTAAATTTTTATTAATTTGAGGGAGTCAGGACCCCCTAGACACCCCAACCCTCTCACTTCCCCCTGCATTTCATAGTAGTTATAAAACACTGATATTTTTTTATGCATGAGTAAACTCCAGGTTTCCTCCAGTGTTAATATCAATCAATGAACAAACCCACAAAGATGTTCAATAAGCCTCGAATAGTCATAAATGTTTGAAGAATAGTAGAAGTTTGTAATCCATCTTGCTATGGTAGCCGACTAAACTGAAACAATATTGTACCTAATTGCCGTACTTTTTTGGAAATATATTATATAATTTATCAGCAGTTAAGACGAAACCTGTTAAGTTCGCACTCTCTTGAAAGGTGAGTTTTTGAACGCAGCCTGTGCATATAAAATTATCTCTCTTTTTATTTGTAATACTGTAAAATTTGATAAAAGATCATAGCAGAACTAGATGATGATCACAGCAAAAAAAGAATTATATAGGCCTATTGTTTGTTGTAATAATAATACAAAAAAACGTTTCTGTGTAGCAACCCTTGATTTATAAATCAATAAATTTACACAATTTGCTCATAATAACTCAATTAGATTATATTCAACAAGAACCCATGTATGAGAGAGTAGCCAGCACTAGTTTAGCGGGGCAGCTCAGACACCAAGTGAAGGGTGATGAAGGAAATAACTATGCTACTAAGTTTACCTCGAGCGCTTCGAGACTTCATATAAAGCGCCCCCTGTACATTTGAATACAGTACCGTACAGTACTTATTTATGTTCACTGATGGAATACGACGAACCGTACCTGCATTAACAAGTGACAACATTCCATCCCACACCCAAATTGGGGTACCAGGTGGAAAGGGGAAAAATGGAAGATATTTCTGGTTCATAGTCCTATCACAGAAAACCCAAATGTAAATAATGCTTTTGGAAAAGTGTTTTCCAAACAGTTATAAATTACTACATACTTTGATACTTGATTGTTTGAACCTTTATTCCTAAAATCAGGTATAAAATAGATTTATTTAAAGTGAAGCACACGCCTGGCTGTAGTAAACTCAATTGATGGATTTCTCATAAGAAAACGAAAAAATCCGTAAAATATTTAGAAGAAAATTAAGAACATGCCAGAAGCTGAAAATTAATATTTGAAACAAGATAAAATTATATAATTTGAATGCAGGCTAAACATTTATGTAGGCCTATATAACAATACCAATATGATTAAGAACATTAACTAAGGCTAACTTATTCAATTCTATTCAATTGTTTTATTACCTCAGGGGACGTACTTTCAATTGAAAATGGTAGGGATTTCTCAACCTACGATAGAGACAATGATGGTAAAAATATTGGGCAGTGCGCTGTGACTTTTTCTGGTGGTTGGTGGTATGGATGGTGCTTTAAATGCTGCCTAAATGGCTTGTTAGTAGACTTCAGGTGCGCAATTATTGATGGGCATGGTGCGTATCCCATGCTGTTGTTGAGTCATTCGGAGATGAAGATGAAGAGGCAGTAAGTCGTTTTCTCTTTTGAGGAAACTTGTAATAAAAACAAATTGTAGAATTTTCAAGTGAGTTTAACAATTAGTGTTTAAGATGAAGTACGCATGGAAATTATGTTGAATGATATAGCTCTATTATATTTATTATTTGTAATATTAATGTGGTGAAGACTATTATATTGAATAGAAACAAATCGAGTACATTATACAATTAGCAAGTCAGACCTTAGATTAATCAACGGCTATATACTAGAATAGAATACACAATAGAATATTTTTCTATTGTGAAACTGATAATTATTCATATAATATATTATATATATAATATATTTTATATATATATATCTGTCTCTTATACACATCTAGATGTGTATAAGAGACAGATATACTATTCCGGCGTTATTGAACTTGTCCAAACTATCATTGTAATGTAATTAATGTTAAATAATAATAATAATAATAATAATAATAATAATAATAATAATAATAATAATAATAATAATCATTTCAGC